AAGACTAATGGGAAGGCCCAAGCTTCCCAACATGGCTGGGTAGAGCCGCAGCTCAGGGGGGATTTCGCTGGGAGAGAATTGTCTTGCCTTGGGCTGATAGACATGATGGTCGCAAAGAACCATGGTGATACAGCCAAGAACGCATCCGAAAGCGATCGCTAAGAACACAAGACCCGTTTGAGTGAGAGTATAGCCGTGGGTTTTGTCAAAGACATAGAAGAAAGCGCCGAAGAACATGAACAGTGTTCCAAACATGCATGCGACATACAAGGAGAGAATGGCCACGATCGGTTCGGTGAAGAGCATATGCAGTGGTCGAAGCAGCCCAACGGTGAGAAATTGTCGCAGTTTCTGTAAGTTCGCAGTCGATCTTGGTTCGACGAGACCAAGTTGTTTTCGGCGGCGACGCAATAGAACAGGGTGATAGGACTCTCCAGATAGGAACAGCCAGATCAGGGAGAAGACTGAGAAGAACACTAGAGTGTACTGCGTCCATCGCCAGCCTTTTCTGTCAACAAGAAACGACCCCAAGACTGGACTAGATAAATCATCAGCGATGTTCACTCAAGGCTCGAACCTGTTTCATCTTCTCTTACCCAAGGCCTGGTCCAAGAAATGGAGACAAAATGAAGATCGTTGACGGTAAGCCACGCTCAACAGGCAGATAAGTCTCATTCAGAACGCCCGAACCAATAGCCAAGACGGGCCCATAGAAGAACCCTGACAGAAATCTCATCACACACAGTCCAGAAAAACTATTGGTTATGCCAGATCCTAACGCAAACAGCCCTCCAAAGACTACAGCAATGATGTGAACAGCTTGTCTGCCAGCTGTTTCCGACAACGGTCCGCCGAGTACAGGACCCAAGCCGAGAGCCAGAACGTATAAAGATAGCGGCAGGAATGCAGCCGTACTCGACACACCAAATTCTTCTACAAATTTTGATCGAGCTGGACTGACGATCGAGGTTCCTACTGAGCTATCAAAAGACTTAGCGACGCGGGTTGTGGGAGAGACGCCAGTCCGCAACAGAAAATCGGCTTACCAGGAAAATCCAACAATAGATATCATCGCCAACTGTAAGTTCTTCTTCCATTTTGGCCAATTGTAGGGGTTAGACGAGTCATCTTCCCACTTCCATTCACTGGCTTCCTGAGCGCTCTCTGGAGGTTTTGCTTCGCCAGAAGACTGGACGATGTTCATCGTTGTCGAGCTCTGGGATCCATCGTTGACTTGCATCTTTGACTCGGAGACAATTGATAAAGAGAGCCTCTTTGATACTGGGTATAAATACGTTGGCCGTTTCCGTTGGTGAATTGTCAATTAAGGTAATCATCACTTCAAGTTCGTAAGGAATACTATTATCACAGCTTCGTAAGTATCTACTTACCTACTTGGATCGATAATGTCCGTCGCTAAGGAAAATAAGCCCCAGTTGTATTTTGCCGTGAGCAAGAACCGAGTAGTGCAAATGAAATAAGGTTTATGCGGCTGTCCACAACATCCAGGGATCCGATGTAAGTATCGCCTGAGAGGCGTCTGACCCATGGCGTCTAATGCCTGTAGCTGAGCTGTCCCCTACGAAAGCTTGGCGCTCCTGTGTCGGCAGAGTGCCGGCTCACCAGCTTCTGTCGACTCCGAGACCTATCGGTACAGTATTTGACCTTCTTACTTGGGAGCGAGTGGATCTTGGGAAGATAGTCACGCCAGGTCAGAGATATGAACTTACCTATTACTTGGCACACACTACGGTATTAACGAGTCGAAGTTGAATCTTAGTGGAAGCTATGTCATCCTTTTGAATTCCCAGATTAAACCAGAGATATGGTTTGTAATCAGATAGCTCACTTAAAGCACGGGATCTTTACTGTGCTACTCATTTGGCTATTGCATTTGTCAGCTGAAGGACGCGGATAGACTGACGGCTATTGTCGATGTCGAATGATTTTGAATATCAGCGCTCAAGTTTGCCCTAATGAAGTCCCAAGACCTCCTAAAAGTAGACAAGTCAATCATCAGATATTCGAGTCGTCTTGTAACTTTTACTTCTCTTGATACATTGTTACTTCAATCTCCAACATCTTCGGAATATCGGCGTCATGGCGCACAAGCAACCACGTGCATCTTCAGGCATCCCTTCGTTTGAATCAACCACGCTTGAAAATATTTCAGCCGCCGTGAAGGTGGTTCAAGCCACTTTCAAATCTCAGAAAACCAAAGATGTCGAGTTTCGTCTGACCCAGCTCCGAAAGCTATACTGGGGCTTGAAGGACAACATCGACCTACTTCGAGATTCTTTGAAGTGCGACTTGAATCGACCAGTTCATGATGCACACGTTTCAGATATCGATTGGAGCATCTCCGCCTGCATGTTTGCGATTCAAAACCTGAAGACTTGGGTCAAGGACGACAAAGATATTGACGCCGCTTTGCCGTTCTCTCTTCTTAGACCAAGGATCAGAAAGGAGCCCCTTGGCACGGTTCTCATCATCGGCACTTACAACTTCCCCGTGCAGCTCAATATCTGCCCGCTCATTGGCGCAATAGCTGCAGGTTGTACCGCAGTTGTAAAGCCCTCCGAAAATGCACCAGCGACTGCTATGGTCCTCACTCGTATCATTGAGGGCTATCTGGATCCTGACTCGTACAGGATTGTCAATGGCGCTATTCCAGAGACAACTGCTCTGCTCAACGAGAAGTGGGACAAGATTCTCTACACAGGTGGAGTCAACGTGGCCAAGATCATCTCTAAGAAAGCTGCAGAAACGCTTACTCCGGTTTGTCTGGAGCTCGGTGGCAAGAATCCGGCATTCGTGACGAGTCACGCAGATCTCCGTCTTGCTGCAAGGAGGCTTCTGTGGGGGAAGACGCTCAATGCCGGGCAAGTGTGTGTCTCGCACAACTACGTCCTAATTGAGAGAGCCCTGGTCAAACATTTCATCAAGTTTCTCCAAGAATCCTATATCGACTTCTTCCCGAAAGGCGCGAGAGAAAGCCCCGATTTCTGCCGCATCATCAATACTCAACACTTCGACCGCATGAAGAGGATGCTAGATAGTTCGCGTGGTCAAATTGTCTTAGGTGGAGAAACAGACCGTGATGATCTTTACATTGCTCCGACAGCAGTTCTCGTGGAGAGCGGGGATGATGTTATGGTTCAGGAGGAATCATTCGGGCCCATTTGGGCCATTTTACCCTATGACAACATCGACGATGCGATTGCGGTGGCGAATGCGACCGATTCTACTCCCCTTGCCCTCATGGCTTTTGGCAGCCAGGCTGAAAACGAGAAAGGTATGAGAACCGATGGTATAGACAACCCTCGTGATTGATGCTAATACTTGAATTACAACAAAGTTCTTTCTGGTGTTACATCTGGCGGCGCAACTCTCAACGACGCCTTCATGCATGCCGCAGTTCACACTTTCCCCTTTGGGGGCGTGGGATATTCTGGACACGGATCTTACCGCGGCAAAGCTTCCTTTGACTGCTTCACGCATCGTCGCACTGTCGCCGAGACCCCTGGTTGGGCTGACAAGATTTTCCGCGTTCGCTACATGCCATACCTGGAGTCAGAGCTGAAAATGTCCCAATGGCTGGGCGACGTGAAGCCTGATTTCGACCGCGATGGAAGGCAAATCTTTGGGCTCAAGTCTTTGGTGGGGTCTGTTCTTCGGGTCGGCAGCGACTCGGGAACCGGTGCGCTCTTCCGCTGGACTATCATTGGGGTTGTTAGTTGGTTGCTGTACGGCCATTCATGGGTTTGAGGTAATTTGGGAATGGATCATTGAGTCCCTTGGCTCTTGGCCGGCTAGTAGAAGTTGTATTTGAGAGACATTAACCTTTCGCATTCGCTTTGTGCCAACTTTATCCTAGTACGTTCTGAAGGCCTCCGTTACGACAGGGCATGTATTATTTTGTGATACTTTTACACCAGATCGCAGGCTCACTACAAACAGATTCACCATTATGCAGGCCGAAATTTCTTTCCGTGATTCCTAGAGAACTCGTTCGCTCTTTTGTCATAGATAGGTTGTAATTCTAACTCATGCCGAGACCTGATTGTTCCTCAAATTGGGTAGATGTTCAAACAAATGCATGATGTGGGACGGCGTCATAGGAAACTGAGGTGTACTCATCCACACGTGTAAATTTTCACCGGTCATACCAGCTCAGTCCCAGCGTATCGTAGCGAAATAGATCTGCCGTGTGGCATTGCCGAAGACAGCTTATAAATCTAACAAACCTCTTCGACGGTGGCTGTTGTAAGCACACAGAGGTAATAGGGAGATAGACACGACTCTAAGGACTCCCATGCACCTACGGGATGTGGGCGGTCTTGAATAAGGTTGGCTGCCTACCTGGCGACACAAGGATGGCAACACCGCTGATAACTGGATGTGTACGAGATAAGCAAGCGAGTGAGGCCAGATAAAGTTTGCTTAGACTGCATCATTAAACGGCTGGGCTAGCGGGCCGGGGCGCTTTAACCCCCCGGCCATCTGCAGCCGAGACTACGGCGTTCGGGGGTGACCTCTGACTTCTTCTTTCAGAAGTTCGGGGCTTATTTCGATGCCGAGCGGTCTTCACGCCGTCCGCTGACGAATACATGCAACTTCGGCGATGAAAGTGTGGCCTGGGCAAGAGCTGCACCCTCGTTGCGTAAGTCGGCATCTCTTTTCCATCAGCTAAACCTGGGACATGACAATCGCACTGCTAAAGGGAGGCATCCAGTACTCATTTTGCAACAGCCGTAACCCAGTCTTGGCCTTCACATCATCGTTCGGCCATGTACCTCGAACGAGTGTGAAAGGATAAGGGCTCGAAGACTGTCTGTATTGAACCCAGGGCTATAAGAACTGTTGAGGCCTCTAACAACAAACACGTGTCTGCGTGAACTTGGTACTATAAGTTGAGTCTTTCTTAGTATCTTACACCAACAGTAGTTTGGTAACCTGTATCGCCACATACTGACCCCTTCTCTCGTATCTTCAACACTATGGGATCTTTACCACTTAACCCTGATGTCCTCGTCGTCGGCGCAGGTCCTGTAGGGCTGTTTGCTGCCTTGCGTCTGGCCAAAGCAGGTGTGAGCGTCACCATACTCGAGAAAGACAGCGGTCTCTCCCAGCTTCCTCGGGCTTGTATGTTTTACCCTCAACCTCAGTTCGCTTTGGCAGAAGCCGGCATTTGGGAGGCCATCATCAAGGGCGGCGGGTTCCGAAGCACCGGCCTTGACATCCGTCTACCTCCCATTTCTGACGAGGAAGGCGGGAAGAAACCTGGAAAAGTTGTTGGGTCATTTCCGAAAGATCCAAGGCATGACCCAACTGGCCCGCCAGTCAGACCCCCAGCAATCAGCATGCTTAACATGGCGCAACCTGAGCTCACCAAAGTCTTGATGGAAAAGGCGACTGAGACAGGACGGGTTCAAGTCCTGTTCAACAAAGAGCTGGTTTCGATCATCAACGATGGTGCCGACGGATCCGAAACCGTTACGATAGCAGTCAAAGATCTCAATACTGGACAAACCGAGGAGCACTGTGCTTCATTTCTTGTGGGTTCAGATGGAGGCAGGTCCAAGACTAGGTCCTTGCTTGGCATCTCCTTTCCTGGACACACTTGGCCTGAGAAGCTCATTGCGACAGATGTCTGGCTGGAAAACACTGCAGATAGCCCTGTCACGACAACTCTTTTGATGGAGCCGGTGCATTACACCATCATCACCCCACTTACACCACCCGTGAAAGGCGAGATGACGAAGTGGAGACTCACTTTTGCGGTTGATCCCGAAGAGCTCAAGACCAAGACCGAGAAAGACCTTCTCTCTGAAGAATACATTTCGCACCATTATGAGCGCGCTTGGGCTGGACCACGACCCTTGACATACAAGATCGATAGAGCAGCGACGTACACCATCCATCAACGCCTGGCCTCCAACCTGAGGCGAGGGAGGTGTCTTCTTGCTGGCGACGCCGCACACGTGAATAATGTAGGAGATGAGGCATGACAAACATTTGAGCAGGTCTGTTAAAGCTAATCTTGATGATACAGGTAATTGGTGGATTGGGTCTGAGCAACTGTCTCATGGAATCTGTTGCTCTCAGCGACGCCCTTATCTTGATCCTCAAGGAGGGAAAGCCTGTCGACCCTGTACTGACTATGTACTCGGATGAGCGACGTCAAGTCTTCCAATTCTTCATTGATCCTGTATCTTCCTGGGTAAGATCTCTACATTGGCAGGATTCTTCATAGTCCACATTGACCTCAGAGTTAAAGGAAGAAATACGTGCTGACAAGTCCCACGAACAGAGCAAGCTGCGAATTCAGGCAGGCGAGCAAGACGATTGGTTCTTCCGCTGTTTGAGTGATACTTCAAGCCCATCATTTGCACGATGGGTTGACATGATGGAGAATTTCTGGCCGACAAGAATAAGGGAGATGGCTAAAGCAGTCTGATAGGTCTCAAGCTGCTTAGCCGTCGGGCGTTCCGACTCAAGCCATACTTCTTGCACTCAGTCTGTATCCTGGTTTCCTGTGCATCGCATCGCAGCGAGTCACAATTACGCGAAATTGCAACATTCAGCAGCACGTGTATATACTGCATATTGTACTACAATTACTCCAGATCTACTTGTGCAATGCCATCTGTGATAGTCGGACCTGTTGCATCATCTTAGGAAGGAAGAGAAGTTTCGAATTTCGCTGGAATCATGTACTTTTGATACTCATCTTGGGGTACTAATTTTTGATGAGTCAATGCTTAATCTTGAGGGCGCTGTTTTAAGACGGTCCGGCGAAATGGCCGTTGAGGACCAGCAATTCGACGATGTATCGTCTGAATTGCCCAATCGCATGGGGGCATGGAGAGTCTTGCTGCCACTTGGTGTGCGTGGCTCGGCACCTGGATCTTTGAGCTTCGGGCATGGACGGGGCGTGAGGTTTGTCGGCATTCGGGTGCGCCCCTGAGTGGATAGGTCAGACTTCCGGCGGCCTGAAGTCTTGACAGATGCGTGATTCTTTCCCAAGAAATTTAACTATCAACTCAAGTGGCGTTCTGGCCTAGAGTCATACATTTGTGCTTTTTTCTTACTTGTAAGTTCATTCTTGGCATAGTTTGCTATCGTAAGCGTATCCGAAGCGCGCGGGTAATGATCCCGCACGCAGTACGGCTTAACGGCGCAGGCCCGCCCCGTAGTCCGGCCGGCCGCTGTGCCGCAGTCCAGCGGCGCCTTAATCAAGTCCGATTAGGCAGACGAGTCTCCTTCTTCAGGATCAACGAAAAAGGGTCGAAAAAGGTCCAAGGAAAGAATCTGTATATCTATGCGGTATACCCGTGTTCATTTCTATCTAAATTGATCATTCTCATCTCAGGTCTCATTTCATCACTTCTCTGTACGTGAAAGAACATACACGTATTGACCAACGACCTTGTCATACGAGGTTCATCATGTCTACGCCAGTAAAAAGCCAGCTTCATCTCGTGCTATACCGAGGATTCCCAGTTTCCAATTCCTATGTCTGGTCACCTTTTGTCACGAAGCTTGAAGCGCGCCTTCGATTCGCTAAGCTTCGGTTTCGCATCGACCAAGGCTCAATGAGCAAGTCACCCCGTGGTAAAATACCATACATCGAGATCACCGAGCCCAATCAAGATCAGCCCACCACACTGAGTGATACCAGTCTCATCATTCAACGACTCATCGATGATGATATTTGTCCGGACCTGAACGAGCCACTTTCCCCAGTCGCCAGAGCCCAAGACGCTGCTATTCGCGCCCTTCTCGAGGACAAGCTAGCATTCTACCAAGTAAGTGCAGATCATTGTCTGAGCTACTCCCGAAATACTCACAGACACTCCTTTGTATAACAGAGCTCGGAGAGATGGCAAGACAACTACAAAACCATGCGATCAGGTGTAATGGGTGCGATCCCGTGGCCAATACAGAACCTTATTGGTCTCCTTGCCTACCATGGTGTCACTCGCACCCTCTACGGCCAAGGCACTGGCCGTTTCTCTAGTGAAGAGCTTGCAGAATTCCGGCGGGATGTTTGGGGACATGTTAATGCGCTCTTGAGTGAGACTCGCCTCACAGCTCCTGATCTTCAGACACCTTTCTGGGTCTTGGGCGGCAAAAACCCTTCTGAGGCGGATGCAACCGTCTTCGGCTTCATTGCCTCAGGCTTGGGATGTGCAGCGTAGGCCCCGTCGTCTGGTGTGATGCGAGCGCGGAGAATAGACTAACAATCTTGGCGATAGGGCACCGGATAGCAAAGGAATCATCGAGGGCTACCCTGTCTTGGTTGATTATGCAGAGCGAATCCATAACGTTTACTTCGAGGACTATGCTCTGTGGGACGAAGATGCGTAAGGGATCCATTGTGGAACGGAGCTTTAGAGAATAAGTGTCACTCATGACGAGACCGACACATCAATCGATTCGTTCGAATATCCAATCCTGTTGATGTTGATTAATTGATCAATAAGACAAAGGCTGTATCTTCAACTAGCTTAAACACTGCCGTCTCTGCAGAAGGTCGTAGTGGAAAATTGGTCTGCACAGCAATCGGTGTAGGCTTGACGATCAGCTGGCTCGCATTCATAGCCATCTATCACGTATTAGTTAAATGTACGAAGTTTTGGAACAGGCACAGCTTACTCCACTTCTGAATATCCGGGCAGCAAGTAATTGATGCAGTCGTACTGCGATCGCACGAGCAAAGAATGGCCTGTGACACACCGATGAACGGGCTGTTGTTGAGTTGGAGGTTAGAGGAGCTCACATGGAAAGTATACAGGCGGACGCAACACTTACACGATAGCGAGGAGGAGGTGAGCGAACTGCATCTTGATCCTGAGGACTGTAGAGATAGCTTGAACGTGAATAGATCAAGATCGACTTTGGTCGGAGAGGAAACGATCGTCGTACTTATATGAGTGAGTCGGCTCTTGGCTTCCCTCACATGACAGGACCAGCTTCCCCAGAGCAAGCAGTTTCCATTCCAGGAGTTAAGGTTATGGCTAAACACATGCGGGGCTTAATAAGGCGATGTCCTTCCGCTTCAGGAAGCGTTCGCCGGTGGAATAGATTGACGGGACCCACCCCGGACCGGAACACGCCACACAAAGAGCCATGATCGCTACTTCGCCTCCGAGTCTGGCAGGACTGAACAGTGATCCAATCACCGAGACTATAAAACCACAGATAAGCACTCAACAATCTGCCCCTGAGTTCACAGGCCAAGAAACAACCTGGATCGATAGGAGTTGAGAGTATTCAATTCCGCACAGACGCAGTATTGCTCCCTGCCCCTTTGCTTTGTTAGTTGACCTAAGTAAGTACCCAGGAGGTACCCGAGTAGGTATAAAGCCATCACAATACTCATACAGACTTGCTCCTTTGAGTCCTGTCAGTTCAAGTCTCAGTGACATGGATACGATTGGACTGAATAACCATGTAACTATTCGAAGGAGAACGGTGCGTAAACGACAGAGTAATAAATCGCCACGAGAAGGATCCAGAAAGTCATCACATTTCTCAAGCTGATCTACCTAATGACAGGGAACCACCGTTTAGAGTAACATTGGTAGCCTTGCCAGATGCGTCAATGGTGAAAACCACTCGAACGTCCACACTTGACCCCAGAGAGTCAACGTCCTGCCAAGTTATGCAGGTCGGCGTGCCCATGTCGACTGGAGCACTCTTGTCCTGAAAAACCGCCACAAACTGGTGTTGAGTCTTCGAACCAATGTTGCTTGGATACAAACGGAAGTCCAGGTCCTCCAACTTGATGCCTGCAGCCTTCGCAATCTGGGCACGGAGGTCGATCTCTCCAGCTGTCAAGGTCGAGACAAGCAGCCCAGGCCCGTCGCGCGAGGTGTTGAAAGCGGCAACGCCCCCAGGCCCTTCAAAGGTGCCAACATATCGCGCCGTCGCCTCAGTAGCGGCAAGCTTTTGGAGCTGCACAATCGCCAGAGAGACGATGTCGGCGTAAACATTTAGATCCGGGCCGCGGGTTGATTCAGTATCGTGCGCGAGGATGGCGAATCCAGCGTTGAAGTCAGGGGCTAGGCCAAAGTAGCTTGCGTAGTGTCCAATCAGACCAGTTTTAGTGAAGACATCGAGAATGGAGCTGTTCGCATATTGGCCAGCGTGGTAAATCTCCCAAGGCCTACCGACGCCGTTGCGAAGGTTCGATGTGTCGGCAACGGGTTGCAGCCAGCGGCGAGTGGTGGCTGGTGGTATGAGACGAGAGTTGAGCATGGCGTGGCCTGCACGCGCAAGATCCGAGGAGGAGGAAATCATTGAGAGTGCACTGCCAGATATTAGTCTTGAGCGACTGAGATGTACAGTGGAATACATACGCTGGTTCGCCGGTAGCTGAGTCGTTCAGATCTCGAGCAAACACCTTAGCATCCTGAAGTGATGATAGAAGACCGCTGTTCGTCATGTTGAGAGGTTCAAAGATACCAGTCGCGAGAATGTCGTCGAATGCCGTGCTTTCACTACCCTCAACTTTGTTTGCCTCCAATGCTAGGGCGAGGAGCTGGAAAGCAGCGTTTGAAATAATGGGTGTAGTGTCAGGTAGGAAAAGCGGCGGCTGACTACCAAAATTGTCGATGAACTCGTCGCGACCGCAATACTTGCTCAGAACACAAGTGTAAGCTAAGAAGAAGCGATTAGTGTCTGCGTGTATGCTTTGAGACATCCTTAGCAAACTCACATTCTCGCGCCAGTCCAGACATCTGACCTGCCAGTGACCCGACAGTGATATCATCCCACTGAGCTTTCATCTCCCCCGTAGAAACATGCTTGAGCTCTGGCAGATACTCTGTGATGGGCTTTCCCCATTGCTCATCTCCAACCTCCACAAGCCATGCGTAGACGGTGAAGAGTTGGGTGAGAGTACCCAGAGGAAACATCGTGTTGGAATTCAGTGTCGAGTTCTGCGGGGCTTGAGGGGCTGCGTAATGATATTCAAAAAACACGGGATCCTCTTCTGCCCCATCTGAGCCCGAGAACAAGACCACCGAGAAAGAAGTGGTGTTGGGTGTAATCTCACCAAAGTCCTCGGAGCCGCCCGCTTTCACAAGCTGGTCGAATAACGCCGTAAAGCTTTTGGTGAAGGATTTGACAGCTTCAGCATTCTTGTCGATGTTCGGCGTAGGATAGTAAGCTTTCAAGAGAGGGCATGGCTGATATACTGGGTTTTCTGCAAGAATTATCGGGAGAAAAGGCAACGAGGCCACTGCTGAAGCAACAGACAGTATGTTTTGACGCATGATGAGTGAATGATTTAGATGATGCACGTATTGTATGAAGCAAGAAGCTGTTTCGACATGAGATGGCGATGATGAATTTCAATCCCATCTTCACAGCGGACTTCAGATATGTTATATACCATTCTTCAATGCCCCTCGTCCGCTGTTTGTGTTGCAGCAGGTAGACTATTAACAACTCGACTACGGACACGGAGGCCACGCACGCAGCACGTCTCTAGCCTACCGATTTCAGGCAGTATTGTTGAAGCAACGACTGAAGATACACCGATCCTCTGTTCAAGATCACGTGTACTGACACTAGTTTTCTTACGCCTGCAAAAATGCTACTCGCTCCGGCAGTCGTTAATTCCGACCGCTAATAGGGGTAGGATGTCCAAAATCCGTATCCGAGTCCGTGTCCGACCCCGCCACAACCTTGGACTCAAAATCATTAAATTGCTGCCGCTTCCTCTCATTTTCGAAAGGATCGCACTAAAACTGCGCTCCGCCACTGTGTTCGCTGCCCATGCCGTTGCCCCAGCCTCTGAAAGGAATGAAAGAATCTGGTAAGAAAGAGAGGGTATCCATAACGAAATCGGGGTTTGAGACCAGTGTCGCGGTATTGGCCATAGAAAAGTCCGGATACGCGACATTTCCGCCCGACGGCACCATGTTCTGCGAGAACATGGAAGACGCAACCGTGTAATCCAGGCTTGGGTTTTGGTTTGAAAAGTCTGAGCTTGGTGTCCCCATGGTCGTAAACCCTGCCGTAGACGCTGGCAGGCTGGCGTGAATACTATGGGGCGAAATTTCTTGCTGTTGGGCTTGTGCTTGTTGCTGAGCAGCAGCCTGGCTCTGAGCATGGAGGTAAAACTTCTCGACCCGTTTTGCACGAATCGCAAAGTGGTAGAAACTGTCGCGATCGCCTCTGTCATCAAGGTCTGGGGAGCTTGCGGCGTCGAGCCTGAGCACGACCTGGCGAATGGTGTGTGCAATGTCTGCAAATTGCCTCAAGTGCTCCGCCATGAACCCTACCCGGGGATCCGCAGCTAGCAGATCCAGCCGTGCGGCTAGAGTGAAGCCACAATGCAGCATTACCCAGACTATGTTCGGGAAGTAGACCTCTTGTCCATGAGGTGTATGGAGGAGGACACTAACGAGCGATTTGGCCGATACTATGCTCTCGGATAGACCTGCGATGAACCGCTGCATTGGGGCGTTTTGCGGGTTGTTGAGACCAAACGGTGTCTCCGGTAGAGACAGCTGGTTCAGGCAGAGCTGGATTGTGTGTAATTGAGGCACCAAGATTGCTACGATGAATGGTTAGGAGTCTACTCAGACTTGTAAACACGGACATTCAACTTACGACAATCGCCGAGAGCGAAGGTCAGCCCGCCCTTGAACACGTCGACCCTTTCCTTAGCTTCTGATACTGCAGCTTGAATCTGCATAGGATCCAATGTCGACTCGTTCTTCACAATGTCATCAATGTCTTCGGCTAACCGCTGTAGGCTGATGATGTACGGAAGGTACTGATCAGTGGGGTACTCAGAGATCTCCGCTAGCTTCTCAGCAGTTTCGGTGATGTAACTCGAAAGAGTGACTATGCGAAGCTTCTGGAGCACGATACTCGTGCTACGATGTTTTAAGATTAGCCGGGGGCCCAGCATCACAACCTGCGGGAACTGTCGACTTGACAGACATACCAAGATGAGAGATAATACGTCCCAAGAAACGTCCTACGTTCATCTAACGAGTCGACATAGTCTTGTGAAGTGCTCATGCCCTCAACGTTCCAACGTTTCGGGTTCTTTGGCCTATCGAAACGCAGATCAGAGACTATGCTCGTAGCTAGATGAAGATGCTGTGAGTATCTCTTCGGCCTTGGTTGGAAGTGGGCCCTGTGACGAGGTCAGTGCCAGGGACATGGAGGGCTAGTGTGGTTTCGCATTACCAGGCGAGATGGACGAGGAGGCCCTGGAGTACGTCAAGACAGGCAAAATCACCCTTCACCAAGCGGACCGCGATGAGGTCGTTGAACATCTGACCCAAAGCTCGCTGCAGGCGGACATCATCGTATGACGAGACAGCGAGAAGGCCAAGCAACAAGGCTGGCCTTGACTGTCTCAAAGAGCTCACATTTTCTGATGCTGGGATGATGATGAATGGGAAGTGAGGTGTCAACTTGGTACGAAACCTCTCAAGGAGCTCCTGGCCTTTGTCGATAGAAAGCTGGCCGGCCTGGAACGGGTCATGAACGCCGGTGCCAAGGCCACGACCGGCTGGACCGGCATCACCGGCTCGGGGATGTTGAGTGGATGAACTACCAGATGAGGCAGCAGGCTGCGGAGGAGTCCGGGTTTGCTCGGGCGTAAGGCTTTCAGAGGCGGAAGGACTTTCGGTCACAGGTTGGGCGGGTTGGGCCGGCCTCTCCGGAACCTGCAGCAACTTGTTGGATCTTTTGCGCCGTCTCTCGCGTCAGTTTTCGGCGGCAACCACCCGACGTTGGACAAGGAAACTTGTGAGAACTACCTGGAACGCGGCCCGGGCGGCTTCCTCCCGCGGGCCACGGCATATGTGCAATCTTTGCCCAGCCGGAGGCATCTATCGCAGACGTTGGAGTCCTGGGAACGATCGCACTTGATTTTGGCGTGGGCGCATGTGCGACACGTCTTCAAAAGCGGGGTCGGACTGCGTTGGCGAGACTCCATGACGCAGACGCGCAACGGGATACGTGCTGACGGAGGGGCGGCGGCGGCGGCGGCGGCGCAACACGGAGGAGGGGAAAGGGAAGGGAAGGGAAGGGAAGGGGGCTAGGCGGTTCGGAGTCCTCGGTGTGGTTAGCCAAACGGTCATGGAAGAAGCAGCATCGCTACGGACACGGGGTGAAAAGAATTGATTTGGCGTACGGACACGGGGTCGATGAGTCGGGGGGGCCAGAGAGACATTAATCTGTTCCCAGCGAGATTGCGGACGGGGTCGACGCCGCCGACACAGCCGAGTGTTTAATGTCCGATCCAACGGTGCAGGGGTCTGCGGTGGCTTAGATTCTCGAGCTAGGCCAGACTAACGCTCCATAACTAAACTCTGAGAGGAATGCGATCCACTAAATCAAGGCTGATCGACTGCACGGAAGCCTTTTTGCCGCGGTGTGATGAGGCTAGCAGGTAGCCTTCTTGTCGATTCAATAATTGCTGGGCCAGTCAGAGAGCAGCTCACATCGCCAGCGCAATCGCAACGTCGCATTGAATAACTGGAAGGATGCAGTAGCAGGGAAGTCTTATTGCCAGCCGTGCCAGCCAATCCCGAAGCTCTTGAAAGGCGCGGTGGAATTGTCTAAGCTCTGGATCACCGCCAGTCAGCACACCGCAAGGTACCTTACGAGGTAGGATCACAAGCATCTCATAATGTGAACCTTTTCTCAGATCATCAAGTTTGCCCAGGAATTGGACGGAAGTTGACAAAAAAAGGATGTTCGTGCACATCGCAAATGAGATGCGATACTTGATATTCGGGCGTGCTAGAAAACCAGTCGTCCATCCGATATGACGTAAACTGCTAGCTGCCGTGTTTGAGAAGACCTCTGAGTGGAATCCGCAGCACGTTTCAAAGCTCCGAAATTTTCTTTCTTTCTTTTTGTTTTTCGAACAAAGTGGTACACGATTGACCATCGTAGGCTCTAGTTGTCTATTGGGTAATACACCATCGAAAGAGACGATGTGTTTCATGTATCATTGTACTGGCTTGCATACGGTTGCGCCAGAACAAATGGCCGAGGCCTTGAACTATTTCTGGCGAACGTTGATTCAAGTATTGCTTGGACCCCGCGACATCAACATGTAATATAAGTCTAGACAGATGTCCTTTCTGTGAAGCCATTCCCGAGCAACGGTTCCACCAAGAATAAGATCACCACTTTGCATCGTACCACAGCAGTGTCTTGAGTTGCTACCCGCGACACAGAATGGATCCGCTGACAGCCATCGGGCTGGTGGCAAACATTTTGGCCTTTGTCGATTTTGGCCTCAAAGGCCTCAGGGAAGCCAAATCAATCTACAAATCCTCATCAGGTCTTACTGGAGAAGCTGCCAGCCTGCAGAAATTTGCTGAGCAAACGCGTCATTTCGCGGACAATCTCCAGACCCCGGATCCCATGGGCCTCGATGACGACGAGAAGGTCCTCTGCGCATTAGCGAAAGACTGCTGCAAAATCTGTCAAGATATTCTTACGCTCATCGATGGCATACGATCCAAAAAGGCGTTCTCCGGAATACATGCAATCAAGTCGGTTTTGAAAGGGGTGAAATATCAAAGTGATTTGAAATCATTACAGGCCAAACTCAACTCCTGTCAGAGCCAGATCGGTCCTCAGCTCACGTACATAACAAGGCTTGTTCCACCTTCTAAACATGTATCATCTACTCTTGCTAACTTTTCAGAACAGCAAAAGAATCATCTCGAAACTCAACATCATGACTGGGAATGCAGAAGACAACTTTGCACGGCTCCAAGAGATCAAAGGCTCTATCGAGAGTCTGAAAATTAGTACCGATGTCTGCAGCCTGCGAGACTCTATCAAAGACGACATCCAGAAGCTTGTCCGCATACCTGAACGTTCGCTTGAACGCCTTGCTCAGGGGTCCATTCTCAGAGGTCTCGAATTCGACACGATGTACTGCCGCCATGACGCTATTTGCGAAGCTCATGAAAAAACGTTTCGATGGATACTGGCCGATTATTTTGATGACAGGTGCAACGTCAATTGCCCGAATGGTCGCCAATATGAGCTTTTATCCAACAGCGGGGCTGGAGTGATGAAGGACATGAACCTCAAGGTCGACGTTACGTCTGCTCTTGCGGAAGAGAACGCTCTTACGATTTGGACAGAAGGCGACGGGGGTCACTTCTCAAGTCTTGCCAGGGACATCTCACATGGCCCAGACCAACTTCAGTCATCACAATGCCTTCCCATATGCGAAGAGCGCCGAGGCATCCGGCAGAAGTTTACGCAGTGGCTGTCTTCAGGCAGTGGAGTGTTTCACTTCTCGGCTAAGCTCGGCGCTGGAAAGTCGACTTTGATGAAGATGATAATCAACCATGATGAGAGCCGAAAGCGACTTGATACTTGGGCAGGTGAGTTATCCTCCTTTGAGCTTTTGAATGAATCAGCAATCTGACAAGACCACATGCAGGCGATAAGACTCTGGTATGCGCCAAGTTCTTCTTCTGGAACTCTGGAAGCGAGCGACATAGGTCCATCTCCGGCTTGTATCTCCGGCTGCTACCTGAGGTTCTCTCAGCTCATCCTGATCTCACATCCCATGCCTTTCCCTCATTCTGGGAGACGGTGTACACATCCCCTTGGCCTGCCGGTGAACGAATGCACATTTCGCCCTCCCAAGCCTTACAAGGCCTTGAACGACTCTTTCAAGGGAGCGGTATAAGTCAGAACTACCGTTTTTGCCTTTTCGTCGACGGCCTAGATGAGCTCCAAGAAACGACGGAATGCTCGTATTCTGATCTGACTGAGAGACTTTACCGCTGGTCTACCCTCAGATCTAAAAACGTCAAAATTTGCGTTGCCAGCCGGCCGCTAAATGCTTTCTCCGAGATGTCTCCGCCGCAGCAGACAATCTGCCTGCACGACCTAACCAAAAGGGACATGGTTCTATATGTTGATGACAAGTTGCAAATGATTGAAGATACCAATATGCTTTCCTCTATCTGCAAGGTTATTGTTGAAAAAGCACAGGATATCTTCTTCTGGGTTGCCCTTGTCGTCAAAGATGTCCGAAAACAGATTGTGAATGGTAACGATGTCGAAAGTCTGATTCGGCATATCAACCAGCTTCCCGAGGAAATCAACGATTTGTTTGCCCACATACTCCAGTCGTTGACACCTAGAGATCGAAGAAGGGCCTATCAAGTCCTCGCTGTTTTGTTACGAGCTCAAACCTACCAGGGTCCAAAGGAACTGCAGCGGGTCACGTTGACAGCATGGGGGGCATCTGCCATTGAGGACTCACAGCAATGTTCATATCAAGAACTTTTTACAACTTATTATTACAACGGCAACGGTCAAGATTTATCGGAAGCAGAGTGCGACTCGCTACTGCGCAAGGAGTTACACCGTTGCTGGAAGATAGTGAATGGCTTTTGCAAAGGACTTGTTCAAGTCGACGTATCTTTGCCCTTGGAGATTGAATTTGCACACCGCTCAGTCAAAGAATTTTTGACAAACAGGTCAAAAGCAATGGAATCATGTCTTGAAGATTTTGACTCCCTGGAAGCTCTCAAGCGAGTGGCATGGCTCCCTCATTGTTTGCCGTATCCCGGCTGCTCTGCTTCGATACACGAGAATTTCGTAATGAAGGTGTCCAATTCCATCGATAATATGCTGCGGCAATGCAGGAAGGATATTCGCCCTGACCTTGACTGTGAGGAAAAGCATTACGAATATTTGAATGCCATCGATCTCTGGCTAGAAAAGTCATGCCCGGTGCCCTGGCTTGTAAATGATTCAAGAAAATGTTGCAAGGCGGAAGCTGGTTATTGCTACTGCCACGAATGCGTTTCCAAGATTGGCGTTTGCCTTCCCTTTGATCTGCTTAGGTCCATACCTTGGCAAGCTTGGACGGCCTCGCCCCTTTCTCGCAGTATAGAGTCAAGAGAGTGGAGTTACGTCTTATGGTCAATAGAACACACTGAAGACACCGCGCCCAATAGACTGAAGGCCTTGATGCTGGTCCAACAGGCATTAGATCAGATGAGAAATGACCTTCAATTTGTCCAGCGCCCCTGTCGCCCTAGCCTCTCCATTGCAATAGGGGTTTTGGTCAAGGCCTTTCTTCAGCGCGATTTCATCTCGCCAAACACAGTTGTTCGCTGGTCTACCTTCAGACCCGGCGATCCTCCCGAACTCCCACCTACTTTCAGCGTTTCACAGTTGCTATTGTAGATGGTTGTACAGCACTATGAACGGGACTTGGGTAGCAACATCATAGGTGATGCTATCGAAGAGCTCTTTTATCACGGTCCAGATCTCGACTTTCAAGTTACGATTGAAATAGACCGCATAGGTTCGAGACGTTGCAAGTTTGATGACAACAAACAAAGCCTAGGAAATGGGCTCAGCACATATTTCAGTGACGTACCCGCATCCGAAGATTGTTGTTTTGGCCTACGCCCACGACAGATCATCGAGCAATCATCTTTCGAGAACAAAACCCGGCTTCTTCAGCTACTCGATGAGATAAATGACAAGCCGGAAGCCAAGCTTCAAAGAGGAGAGGAGGGGATCAGCGAAGATGAGCCTGGGTCCTTACCCTCAGGCGAGGACCGGAACATTGCGCACGAAGCGGTCAACGATGGAATTGGCGTGGTACTTGAGCATCTTGACAAGCGAGCCATCCTGCCAAGACTATTCGCCCAAGTTGTCATCGTTCGTTTCGCTGCCATGCTGGTCTCTAGTAAGTATATGACTCTTCGAGTCTCACAATATCCCTTTGCCGGATTATTGCTAACAACATTGCAGCATGGCTACTGATCCAGCTCTTTGAACTTACTTTGAGACAGATTCATGCTTGAGGCAGAACTTTGCAGAGAGTTTGGAGTTTGGCGTTAGGTTTGTATTTGCAAGAGGTTCTCACGAAGTTCAGTATCAATTGGCATCGTCAGGGCCAGCTCCCAGGGTCTTCGCAGACAGGAGTTGGGATCCGCGTCTTGTTTACGATGAATCTTGAATGTTAGAAGGAAAGTGTAGTTTGAATTGAATTCAATTGTGAAATTTATGTGCGCCTTGCAATGCCTTGTTCCCTGAAGGTATTTATCTAACCGTACGCGAATGAACCGATATCATGGAACTAGGTACTGACGAAGAAGCCGTGGCTCACGAGCAAATGGAGAACCTTTCAAACGCCCAAAAACGGAGTGGAAAACATCATGACAAGCCAGGAAGCTCCTCGAAATCAAATCCCTTGAATCCATCCTCAACAGCCCACGCCCTCCCCTTCTCTCGCTCGTACAACGCCTCACACGCTCTACCCACAACAAGAAGCCCAGGCGGCCTGCTTCCCTCAGCCTCGATAGCTTCAGCAACATACCCCAACGTCGTCCGAATCACCCTCTGATCAGGGCAACTCGCCCGCTCAATAACAGCACACGGCGTATCCCTAGGCCAAAGCGCCCTCTGCGGTGTGCTCTTCTCCTCCCCTTCGCCCGCAGCAACCTCCGACTCGAGGTAGGTCGTCAACTCCCCAACCAACCCCGTAATCCGATGCAGAGCCATCAAGAACACAACCGTCCGACTAGGGATATACTCGGGCGGCGTCGGCACCTTGCCCTTCTTCCCCGTGCCGGTACATACGAGGACCTGATCCGCGACATCTCTCTGCGTAGGCGGAATTCCCGCAAACAAAGGCGCGCTCAACGACGACGTGATGCCCGGTAGCACCGTCACCCGCTCCCCGAACCCGTGCTCTCTGAAATACGCCACTTCCTCTCCACCGCGGCCGTAGATGAAGGGATCGCCTTGCTTCAGCCTCAGCACCGTCTTGCCCTCCTTCGCGCCCGCGAGCGCGAGCTCGTGGAGTTCCTCTTGGGCTTGGTCTGCGTTGCCCGGGAACTTGCGCGCGATCTTGACTGGTGTGCGGCGCGGGATAAGGTCCAGCACGCCTGCGGGGACGAGTTTATCTGCGAGGATGAGGTCTGCTGTCTGGATCGCCTTGTGGGTTGCGCGGGTCAGGAGATCTGGGTGTCCTGGGCCGCTGCCCGCGAGGATGATTCTCCCTTGTTGCTGCGGGCGTGTTGCACCACCTGCTGCGATCACGGGTGGTGGTCTCGCCTCCTCTGACGGGTTACCGAAGCCAGAGTACGACTTCAGTACGGATTCGACGTCCTCATCGTTGATGGCGGCAAGACGCTTCAGGGGCCAGTACTCGCAAACCTGACTCAGCCACCTCATGCGCCGGTTCTTTGCCGCGTCGAGATCCGCCTCGGTGACGAGCTTGTTGAAAGATGCCGTCTGGTCGAACGAATCGTCGACCTCGTCTGCCGCGAGACGGTCTTCCGTTTGGATGCGCCTGCGGACATCGCCTAGCCTCGCGCAAGCGGCACCTAGATCCCGGGGAAGCGCGGCGGCGACTTCGCGCCGGATGCGGGAGGCGAGCTTGCAGCCGCGCCCGTTTGTCGTAACACCAATTTGTAGAGGTCCATCGGTATGTGTTGATAGAAGTGAGAATGAGCAGAGATGCGGCGCGTCGACTACGTTAATGGGAATACGATGCCGTCTACACAGCGCTGAAATTTGAGCTGCTTGCGGGGAGGAAGAAGATGTGACGAAGACGGCGTCAACGACGTTTTCGACCTCGTCGCGACCTAGAGTGAAGAGGTCTGTGTCGGCAAAGGCCTTCCTGTGCCATGTCACCTCGCCGGCGTCGATGCGCTTCTGGAGGCCGTAGTGGAGATCTTGTGTCTCTGGGGCGATGAGAATCGGGGTTGCGCCGGCGTTGATGGTTTGTGTGCAGCGGGCTGCGGCGAGGGGATTTGTGCCGATGATGAGATGGGTGTTGCCCTTGCAGTTGAGTGATGTGAGGAGTGACGTCGTTGTCGCCATCTTGGGCTGTGCGGGTGAAGATGATGAGTCTTCTTCTTCTTGCTGCTTCTTCTTCTTCTCTCGAGTTCAAGTACACGATCCCCGTCTCTCCAGATGGTCGAGTGAGGGTCGTCTAAGTGGAGTATGCGACAGAGGTCGTAGTCGAAGAACCAACAGTCCAAGTGAGACCAAATGGTCGGGAAATGAATCGAGAATGAGTAGTAGAATCAACAAACTCTCATAACTCTGAAGTCAAATAAAGAAATAAAGCATTGATATGAATTACTCACTCACTGTCCTCCCCCAAGATTTGAGTGAAGCTAACTAATAAGGTAATCTGCCAAAGCCCGAAGACGGCCGGGGACCCGTGGGACCCAATCATGCGGCGGGCAAAAAACGTTGGTTGGCCAAATTTTCATTCGCTGGCGATGACACCATCCCGACAGCCGTCCGCCCCAGTGGCCCCAATCCCCTTATCGGCGCACCACCCGCACCGTGACCACCGCAAACGCGCTGAAGGCCCAGGGCGATGGCGTGACCAATCAGCGGCATTAGTGACCGACTCCCGCGGAGCCGTCGCCGGAGATCCTTCAGTTACCGTCCCTCCTTCGACCTGTGCTCGCCGATGCATCTCCGGTGTCAAACACCATGTCCGCCACTTTTGGTTTAGACTTCAGATAACCATTGCGCTTTGCATGCTTGGCCTTACAAAGGAGTTGTCAAATCATTGAGTTGTGGTATTGTAACATGATGTGGTTTGCTCATCCCCCGAGCTATGTGCCTTAGTACCTCAGGGCAAGGCAGACCGTGATATGCCTCCATTCCCGCCCATCCAAGATCTATTTGGTTTTCGTGGTGTTGATACAATACTTTTCCCGCCCGTTTTTTTGTACACAATCCTAGTATTACACCTCAAGCTTACAATTATTCCTCGTCCGCCTTGGCCAGACTCTTCAACAGCTGCTGGCGAGCCGCCTTCCTGCTCGTCTTGCGCTGCGGGCCAGTTGTTGTTCTGCCCTCATCCGAGCCAATAACACCCGTCTCGTTGATATCGACACCAATCACCTTCTTCTTCTTGCTAGCAGCCGCCTTTTGACGCTGGGCTCTAAGACCGCCGTCATCGAGCACCTCAGGCCTGCCCAGACGCACGTTGCGACGGTTGCGCGTCTTCGCGCCCAGAGCCCAGAGGTCACCCCACTTAGCCTTGCGCGCATCATGATATGCCTGCTTGCTGAAGCTCTTCGGTACCGTCCAGCGCTCAATCTGCGCGTTGGGCGTACACACATCGAGCGTGACGTGACCGCGACGCTTGATGGGCGGGAGAATCTGGCGGGGCAGGGAGAGCATGTCAGGTGCCGTCTCGGACGTCTCGAAGCCCTCGAAGGCCCGGTCGGCGGCTTCTGCACCGGCGAGTGGTCCCTCCTTTGCTGCGACGCCGCGCTGAATGGCGATGTAGCTGAATTGCACATCGTCATGGTTGCGGTGTGTTGCGCCCATGATTCTTTGCAAGAACGGCGGTCGCACGAAGCGCTGGTTGAAGTGACAGAAATCCTTACGTCCAGTACTCTTTCCAGGAACCTGGTACATCGGGCAACCGCGGTGGTTTGTGCAGGGCGCAATTATCATGCCAGGTACCTTTTCTCTCTCGAACGCCGGGTTCTTCTCTTCGCTCATGGTAAGATTTTCACCTCCAGGAGGGATCAGGAACTCGGTAAGCAGACGCTCTCGAACATCAGCCACGGCTTCAAAGCCGCGGGGCTGGCCCTTTTCCAGCAAGATCAAGACACCGCCGTTGGGATTCAGAAGTGACCAGATGTTGTTGAGGATAGCCTTGCGTCTGTGGCCTTCCTTGACGGGTAGCATCAGGTGAGATGCGATGATGATATCAAACATCTTCCTCGGCTGGGGGTTTTCGTTGGCATCCAGGTGAAGATGCGCGTTCTCGACTGAGTGGTGGTAGTCGGGAAGACGGGGGAGAAAAGTCGTGTTCTGCAAAAACTTGGTGACGCGAGTCCGCAGCTTTTCCGATCCCACCACTACGCTCTGCTTTCCGGGAGGGTTCTTCTCAGTGACCTCTCCGCGAGACTTCATGGCGTCCCACTCGGCGCGCGACACATCCTGCCAGGCCAGAAGACCAGCACCACCAGCGCCAACGTCGAGAACACGAGGCCCACTCCCGTTCTTGAACAGATTGCGCAGCCAGTCCGTGCCTAGGCGTTTGCGAACCTCGACCAAGCTTCCCATGGCCGAGGCGTAGGCGGGGGGTAGGAAGGCAGACACGAAGGCGTCCGCCTCAATGTCAGACATCTTGTTCTGCCAGACAGCCATACCGATGGCCTGTTGTTCCATGCCCATTTTAGATGCCGGGGTAGCGGGAGAGTGTGGTAGACCAGGGCCTCCGAATGCCTTCTCAGCAGCCTCCTTGACGTGCTTGATGTCTGTTCTGTCGAGCATTGATGTGACCGGTGCAATGTACCCGCCATACGGCAGACTGACTGTGCTCGGATTCGTCGAGAAGTGGCCCTCCCTCGAGAATGGGTGCAGACGTCCTGCCCGCGTCGAAGTGCCTTGATCCTGGATGCCATCCTGGTTCTCGTCGAATCCCTCTTCTTCTTCCTCATCCTCTTCGAATTCCCGTTCCTCGTCCCGCATTTCGTCCTCCTCCAACATCTCCCTGTTTTCTTCCTCAACAGCGCGGGCGTTGGCCTCGAAATCCTTTTGCAGCATCATGAGCGCGTCATACTCCCTCTTGTTTCTCGCCACCATGTTGATGTATTTGTCGCTGCCTTCTGGCGCTGCCTGCTCGGTCGGCTCAGGCTCTGCGACTTTAGAAATAGCAGCAACAGGCTCGTCACTCGTCTCGGATGCCTGCTCATCGTTGTTTTCCGCCGCCTTTTCCGCCTTCCTGCGGGCGTACTGCACTTCTTGCAGTGTGCCTCCCTGGACCTGGCGCAGCAGAGTCGGGCTACCGGACCTGTCTCGTCGGACGCCTGCAGAATGCTCATCGTTCAAGTATTGTATTCCTACATCCTCCGGGGACGTCTCCCGCAGAGGCGGCCCATACCACCGCTCGTATAATGTGTATTCCTCCTCGCTGAGATATCCCTTGGGCAGTGTATCTCGGAATCGCTGCCTCGCCTCTCGAACCGTCTTCTCGATCTCAGCGGTGCGCGCGAGTGATTCGGCGTCGGTGCGATTGGATTCGGGGTCTTGGAAGCTTCGTGATGTTGTTGAAAAAGTCCTGCAGACGTTTGCGTGTTGGTCTAATGATCGTGTCGCAGCTAGGCTGCTCTGTCGCGGGAAGCTTGGTCTAAGCTGTCGGCCTGCGGGGGATGAACCAGCTAGTGTATTTCCAGCCAAGCTCAATAATCGAGCTCGACAGCTGGGGCAGGCATTTCGGAGACCACCTGCTGTCAACATGATTGCCTTTTGGGTGTGGATTGGTGGCGACGCAAAGTTGTCAAGGAGAAAAGCCGCCCGTGAACTTTTAGGAGCTGTCGCATGGAGCATTGAAATTTGGGTAGCTCAAAGATCGGCGCCCCACTTGTTGGAAATAAAACGCTCCCGATTGGCTTCAACACCAATGCCCATTCTATCAAGCATGGCATGGATTCAACTTAGGTACTATTAAGATCTTAAACTGCAGCAGATGCAGAAACAATGTGGCAGACGCATGACGAGTAACCTGTTTTGGCTGAATTGCTGAGATACTCGCTTTTTACTCCGTCTTTAAGTTGAAGTTGTGCAATTGCGGGTTACTTTGTAAGTTTCTTTTTATCTATCAGGCACCTTGGATATTTCCTCGTATCATTCTGAAAGGACTGCCTTCAAGTTCGCATTTTCTTTCAAAAGGCCCTAAGCTGTAGGGTTTTGTTAGCGTCTTGCTACAAAGGCTCACCCTAAAATGGCCTGACGAATAAACCTGCGTTATTCGCTGAAAGCTATTGAAAGTAGGTGTTCTATAATTTCCATAGAACTGTTCAACATATTTACAGCGTGTCTAGGTCGAGGTCAATGGAGCTCACGAGGGCGATTGTCCATTAGCCACCTTCGATGTTTATCTACAGGTGGTTGTGGGCGAGATTCAAGTGACTCGAAAGAGCCTATCTCTCATGTATATCATCTGATCTCACTAATATTAAATTATGCCTCTACAATTCTGGCTTTGTCCTTCTCCGCGGTTTGCTTCTCTAGACACTTGATGATTCCCTTCATTGCCGGTGAACTCCCAATCTTCTTATGCTTCTGAGCCACATCCCGGGCATACGCCAGGGGGGTCTTTCCATGGGGACCTTCCACGGTGAGACTTGCGCCTTTCTCAAGGAGAAGTTTGAAAGACGCCTCGAAGCCGTTGCGGATGGCGTAGTAAATTGCAGTGTGTCCAGTCTTTGAACTCGCGTCGATGTTGGCCCCTCTCCCCAGGAGCTCTTCAATGACAGCCGTTCGGTCTTTCAGAACGGCCCAATGCAGTGCAGTGCGGCCGTCCGTCTCGTCTTTCCGATCAATCCTTGCACCTCCCTCTACAAGCAACTTGACTAGGCCTACGTGCCCAGCTTGCGACGCTAAAGAGAGGGCAGTCAGACCATTCGCGTCCTTGCAGTCTACTTTGGCTTTTTGTTTAATCAGTGCTTCGGCTGTCTTCTTGTTGCCCTCCTCAGCCGCGTTTGCTAGAGGTGTGCATCCATCTTCGTCTTTAGACTCGATAGAAACCCCCCGATTGAGCAGCAACTTGACAGACTCGGCACATCCATATCGTGCCGCTGAGGCTAGCAATTCTTCCCCCATGCTCTCAATCACTTCGTTACTCGAGCCGTGATCTATCAACGAGCGGAGAGGCCCAGAGTTTCTTCTGTTCTCGGCTGCACTCATTAACGGAGTAACACTTGACGAGCTCTTGGCCGTGGCGTCAGCCCCTTCCCTGAGGAGCAACTCCACAGCCTCAGTACACCCATATGCTGCTGCATAATGCAATGGTGTCCATTTCTTATCTTTGCTGCGTGCTTTGATATTGGCTCCACGATCAATCAAGACACGTAGGACAGCACTGTCATGGCTATCGTCGTACTTGGCAGCTTTACATAGAGCAGTCGCCCCATACGAACACGGTGCTTCGAGATCTGCGTCTCGATCGAGGAGCAGATTTATTAATGCAATGGACTTTGCCGAGACCGCAAGCTCCAGTGGCGTTTCGTCATTTTCCGTCTTGGCTTCGATATCTGCTCCTCGATCCAACAGCCACTGCGCGAGCAAAACATTGTTTTTGCGAATGGCAACGTGTAAAGGCCTCCGACCATCCTGGTCCGTGTCTTCTGTATGCGCGCCCCGATGAAGTAACAGCCGAACAGCTGGTAAGAAGTTCTCCGAACAAGCACGATTTAGAGGTGTCCTCTTGTAGCCATCCTTCGCGTTGACGCTGGCGCCATTCTCTATCAGCCAAGTCACAACTGACAGGTTCTTTTTGATAATCGCCCAGGCTAGAACACCGCGTCCTTTAGAATCATTGAAGTCGAGGCTTGGAAGAGAATCTTTCAGAAACTGCATCGCGGCAATGTTTCCTTTGACGACTGCTTGTAGAAACGTCCTCTGCAATACGTCCTCCATCGATTGGATTGCTTCGTTTTGCTTTTTCTTGGCTTTGAAAAGGTCTTCGGACAGATAGGACACAACAGAGTCTTTCCATTTCGACGCCCTCTTCTCTCCGCTGGCCGAGTGCATTCTTTGCGCCGTGGAAAGTGTCTGAAGAAGTTTCTTCTCCATTGAGGCGTACTTTTCCTTGTCTCGGGAGGACGACTCGAGCCTTTTTTCGGACTTTTCCTTTTTTTGCACGAGATCTCTCTTCTCTGCCTCAAGCTGATCGAGCTGCCGCTGTACATCCCTGAGTCGTGCTTTTGCGGAGTCAAGAGCTGTTGCCTCGGTCTCTAAGGAACTAATCGACTTGTTAAGCTTTGGCGTTATATCTTGACTTTCCCGGAAGATGCTCTGCACGTTTACGCTGTGATCGAGAAGCTCAATCTCAGACGTCAAATTGACAGTGGACTTTGGCTGGCTGCTCTGTGGAACCACACTCACGGCATAAACCGGATGTACACCTGCCCCGTGTCGCTGTCTAGAGACTTTAGCTTGAACACTCATGGTCCCGTTGTAGGCGCTTCCGTTCCCAAAGGTGTATTCTTCCACTAGTGGAGCATATGCAATCTTCTTCAGGGTCGTCCCTCTTGATGCGATCATGGCGTGACACTTTGCAGCTGAATGAGTCTTCGTCGATGTGAGCTCTAGGGCAAGTATAAAGTCGTTTGAATCATTTTCAGAATGAGCATGTCGAAACCTGGCCCATGTTCGCTGAGTCGATTCCTTGTGGAAGTCCATGCCGGTATAGAGGAAAGCATTATCCTTGTCCCAACAATCAGTCGGCCAGACGTCGATCAACTCGAGGCCTTCGGCAAGTGCGTTTTCGACTGAGAATCCATAGCGACAGTCCTTCACCCGAGTTTCTTCGGGACTAATCGACGCCAAAGCATGTATGGATGATGCTGGCGTATCACACGCCACGTCTGGCAACATTGTTGTCTTGCTGTTCTTCGGTCTGACGTACTCGCCACCTGACTCTCCGGGCGCAATGCGGGAAAGAGGAATCCCTACTACTTTCTCCCTGCCATCGTTGTCGTATCGACAGCTGAGAAGGCCATATGTGACCCCGGAACGATCAGAGTGAAGTGGGATTCGCAGTTTAAGGTAGCCGCGTAAGATATTCCCCTCTATCGTCGGAGTGCGGTTTTCCCTGGATGCAACCTTCCCACAGCCTGCAAATGCTGCAGGAGATGAGGCTAGAATGCCCCCAACAAAATCCCTTGGGCGGTTTCTAGAATCTGCCACAGTGATTTGTGGCCTTAAGCCCCATGCCAAGATTGAGTCGTCTGTAGTGGCGTTGATTATCGTATCTTGAAGCCGGATGAAGGCACCATCGCCTTCTCCATATATCAGTGACATGACAACGTTGAAGATACCCAGAAGCGAATACGCAATGTCTTCTGCTCTCTTGGTCTCTCGATTCGAAGCCCAAGACATGCGTTGTGCCACACTTGCTTCGCGTAGGTTGGAGGCACCCAGTAAAAACCGTGCCGGGATACCTGTTATGTCTCCTACGACTTCGGACAGTTGCAGCTTTGTACCCAAAGCTTGCCAGTCGCTACTGTAAAACATGAGCTCGCTCGGGGCTAGCAGCTCTTGCAAGGTCCATCCTCTCGTGAACCAACGACTTTTTCGAAACTTGGATTTCCACTTGGGATTGTCCTTCGAGGGTACATCTTGGAGGAACGTATAACAGGTCTTTGCTTCCTGGTACCAGCGGAACATGGAGTTGATCGCCTCGCCCAACTCGTTAGCATTGGTCTTGTCGATACAGCAAGTATCAATCCAGACATAGTCGAGTCCATCGGTTTTAGCTTGTCGCAGGCAACCTTCAAGCTTGATCGTTCCGATTCCCGGCTTGTCTGTGTCGCCTTGCTTGATTTCGCGGAAAGATATCTCCTCTTTGTCTGGCCCCCAAGTATGTGATAAGATGGCATACTTCGGTTTGTCGGCATGGAATTCCTCCAGTAACCGGGTATGAACATTGATGAGATGCATGTGAGGCGAGGGAGCCGGTTGGACTAGCTTTGAAGTCTACTATCCTGAGTTCAGGAGGATGCTCTCGGGGCTCTCAGCAAGAGTAAGAGCCGAGACAAAGGAGGTCTGATTCAAAAAATGAGAGAACGTAATAATATGTGCATGGGAAGAAAATAAGGGCAGAAACGGTGAAGTAGAAATGAAATGGGAACCGGGTTTAGAGAAGTAGTAAGCCGCTAGACCAGGCAGTCAGTGGAAGAGGGGCGGATAAGCAGGACAAGCCCCGTCAACAGAGATTCTATTCGCCAGCCTCACGTTGACCGAAGGCAGCTGCGGCCCCAGACAAGCGCCTGCAGAATGCAGCATGTTCGATATGGACACTCAGCCCCATACTGTCTGGCTTGCGCCCCGATTGCCATTTCATCCGGAGCATGAACAGTCGCGAAGGGTTCCTCCATTCTAACGATGCGAATTGGCTGAAAACGAGCTATGTACTCTATCGATGCCAGGATGCGATAGCTTGGTAGAGGCAAGTTAGCAGGCTACTAATCGCTTGCGACGGATTATGGAACTTGTCGTGTATAACAATCAATGGAAGGATGCTCTTGGAGCCCAGTAGGGCTTCTATATACTCTCAGATAAATAGCCCCAAACGCCTTTCGCCTGTAATCGATCATATCATTCATCGCCGCCCAAATCAGCCAGGGTCTTGAAAGCTGGTCCCCTCGGCGGCTGTCTCGTGCCGGGGCCAGCGCTCTTTGTGGATTTGACCGTCGGTGGGGGCGGGTTCACGCGGTTAAATTGCGACATCTCGGCCGCCTTGTGGGGATCAATCTACCAGTCCGTCAGCAGGCGGTTCTTCTTGCTCCCCTTCGGATCGACCGTGAACCAACGTACCGCAAACAGAGACACCAGATACAATCCAATAAACGTAATGATGTTGCTCAGAATATCGCGGTAGTGCCACGCAAACGGCCGCTGGAGGCTCGCCCGCGCGGGCTTATCCCCGCCAAGCGTCCGGCCGGGGGTCTTGAACGAGGCTGCGGAGCGGCCGCCCTTATCAGGGAGCTTCAGCGCGTTTTGAATGGCCTGTGTGAGGGCGGGCGGGTTCGCACCCTTGATGGTCTCGATCGCCTGTCCGCCGTGGAAGATGATGAAGGTGGGCATGGCGCTGACGCCGTGAGTGCGGGCGATGGTGGACTGGCTGTCGACATTGATCTTGCAGAAGGCGACCTTGTTCGGCTTGGAATGTTCTTTCGCGAGACGTTCGACGTGGGGTGCGATCTGCTTGCAAGGGCCGCACCAGTCGGCGTAGACTGTCATGGGGTTTGTCAGCGATCTCTCGGATGCGCGAGGGGACAGCTGAGAAGACCACTTACAGTCTGCGATAACGACGTTGTTACCGCTTAGAATGCCTTGCCATTGGCCAGCGGACTGGATGTTGATGAGACTCATGGCTTCAATGACTTGGCAGAAAATAACGAGGGCGATTCATATGTTGGCGCAAGTGTCACGAAGTTGAAAGGAGACAGAATTGAACCCTTGGGAGTCGGCCGCGGCGTAGCTGACGGATAGCTCGCGGCCTGGTCCCAGCGGAAAGGTGGCGGGTACCTGAATAGGAAGGCGGCCAGACTTGACTCCGCAGTTCTGCCGGATTTACCCCAGGATTATCGATAGCGGGACCATCACCCAGAAACTTTTTTGGGACGCTGCGAACATTGCCCCGAATTCTTCTTCGAGACGACATTTCCAGAGCTATCAGAATAACCTGCGCTCCAATTCCCTTCAAAATGGCCTACGATCAAGGAGCAAAGGTAATCCTATGTTTGGAAAATTTTCCCAGACATTCGCTAATTCGCTGCAGAGAAGAAAGACTGACGAGGGCAGCTATGTCGACCCTTCGGAAAGCGGTAGCGGCCGCAAGTGGACAGTCTCGGTTGCAATTCCCAGCAGTATTCTCTCAGAGTATGATCGCAAATCATATAATGCTTTTGTTATAGAGATTGACCTTTTCTCAGTGCTCTCACAGCTGAGCGCCGCAATTCCGTAGCCGGCCTCATCGCCCGCGCTCTCGCCGTCTTCTCCGTCGATGAGATCGTAGTCTTCGACGACAGCCCGACCGAATCCCGCCCCAAGAGCGTCGACACAAAGGCCTACACCGGCGACATCGACCCCTGCCACTTCCTCGAGCACCTCCTCGGCTACCTCGAAGTCCCACCCTTCATGCGCAAAATGCTCTTCCCCCTCCACCCGAACCTGCGCCTCGCTAGCCAGCTGCCCTCGCTCGAGATGCCGCACCACCCTAACCCGGCCGAATGGCTTCCCTACCGTGAGGGCGTCGCTGGCAAGGGAACGCCCCGGGGCACCATGATCGATATCGGTCTCAAGGACCAGGTCCTGATCGAGGACGAGGTGCCCCCCAACACCCGCGTGACGCTGTACCACCCGGACCAGAGATCGCAAAAGGCCGAGGCGTGCGACCCGTCGGCGCCGAGGGAGGAGGGCGGCTTCTACTGGGGATACCAAGTCCGTCGCGCCAACTCGCTGACGGCGGTGTTCACAGAGTGCAAGTTCGAGGGTGGCTACGACGTCAGTATTGGTACATCGGAGCGCGGACGCACACTCTCAGAGGCCTTCCCCAGCGTCGAGCCCCTAGAATTCAAGCATCTTCTCATTGCGTTTGGTGGACCCAGAGGTATCGAGTATGCGGCGTTGAACGACAAGGAGCTCGAGGGTATGGATATGGGTCCTTCAAAGGCCAAGGAGCTGTTCGACCACTGGGTCAACATCTTGCCTGGCCAGGGCAGCCGTAACATCAGGACAGACGAGGCTCTGTGGGTTGCGTTGACGAGCATGAGAAGGTTGTGGTATGAGGTCTGATACGCTCTGTGATGTTCAGGGGCGCTGTGTTGGACCGGCATCTTGACGGAGACATGATACCCATAATAAAAGTTTGATTCCATGAACTGAGTCTTTCGTTGACGAAATCTCATCGTGCAGGCTGTTGAGGTTTGTGAGAATACTGTTCATCTCAGAGAGACCCGCTATGCGCCATCATTCAATATGCCAAATACATGAAGGATGATCCAGCAAGTTGGATGATATTCAAGTTTATAGTAAATGGATTCATCGCTTATTGCCATGCGACACGAGTGTACCAATGATAAATTAACCAAAGCAATTGTCGCTGCTATTCACTGAAAGAGTTTGTTCCATGACATCTCCTGCTGCTGTCACAAGAAAAAGGAGCGGCGGTCGCCCTTATTTATCCAATCTTCCAATCTTCACTGCGTTTTTAACTCCTGCTGAAGGGACAAGTAATTCGCCCAGTGCGAATCCCAAGTCGATCCTACCAAGGACGATAGCAAAATTCGCACTGTCTTGCGACTCTCGTCTTCCTGGGTGGGGTTAAGAATGCAGTGCAAAAGGTGTGGCTGCTGTGAGATGGAAGTGACAGGGATCGCGTACGTAGAATCTCAGGATTGGCTAGCAGGACGAGGGGATGGCGAATCTATTCAATAAGTGAACGAAACCCATGCTGACGTCTGATATCATCAGTCCAGCCTCATCACTCTCCGACAAACGGTCTCTGAGCGGCATCATTCACGCCAACGAAAGATTGGTCTCAATATGGTGATGACAAAAAAGAATTAAGAATATCATTACTTATACAGCCAAGAAGTAAACATCTCAGTGCTGATACAAGGCAATACCAGCCGTGAACCCGGCAATATTATCCTTGTAGAATGCCACATCCTTTCCATACCGCGTAACCATGGCCGTCGTGCCCACAATCTGCAGGTTGTAGATGTCAAAGTTATCCGTCGCGGTGCAGTTGCCCGGCGCATCGCGCACATCGACAATGCGCTGCTGGCACCTTGCTCCGGCGCCGATCTGGCAGCACGCCGTGCTGTAGTTGTTGAAGAAGGAGTAGTGTCCAGCTCCGAACGCGACGACGTTCTGGCTGCCGATGACACGGAGACCCCAGGCCATCTTGCAGGGCGGGCCGTTGGGGTCGGCGTCCTTGCATTCTGTCTCGAAGTCTGGGTCGTGGTAACCCTTGACACGGGGGAAGGGGATCGTGGCTGGCGGGTTGGGTTGGTACTAGTCGTCAAGGTCAGCTTCATCTAAAGGAGTTGGTTTCCATAAGAGGCGATACGTACGTAAGGAGTCTCGGACTGAATCTGGCCCATATAGACGTCCCTGGTCTTGAAGAGCATGTACTGGTAGAGCGTGTGGTGCTCAACTCCAGAGGCGGACAGCCAGATCTTGCCGGCGGTCGACTCGATGAGCAGACCACGACCGTTGTAGATGGTGACCTGCTTGTAGTCGGGGTCCTCGAGGTCGTGATCGGCAGTCCAAATCCAGCAGTTCTCCTGGAGAAGTCCACTGTAAGATTGTCAGCCTGCATTGTTCACAGAAGACGATCCAGAATCAGGGGTTACTCACGAAGCAGGCTTGGTGATGTGCATACTCATCCATGCCGCAATGCAGTTCTTGTCAATAGTATCCGCGGTGACAGTCGCGTTAGGAGTGGTAGGGCACTCCTTCAGCTGTTGCTGCGTACCAGCGAAACCTCCGACACGAATATGCACATCCCACATACCAGAGGGCTCACCGACAGTGTTGAGGTTGTACTCAATGACCTTGGCACCTGGGGCAGATCCGCGCGTGGACACAATCATGTCAGACCACTCGATCGTTCCGCACTGGCCCGGGATAGCAACCTTCACAACGGGATGAGGCTTCTCGATATCCTGGAACTTCTCACCGCCGCCCATGATGATGGATGCCAGAGCCTCACCCACAATGCGAGCTCCGGGAGGGATGAAGACGGTGTCGGAGACGTAGTAAGTTCCCGCGTCGACGAAGGCGAGGAGGCCAGCGGCAGGGTTCGAGGCGACGTAGTTGAAGAGGTTGTTGAGGGCCACGGTGTCGTCGGTCACACCGTCACCGCGAGCGCCGAATGAACGGGCCGAGATAACGAGGCTTGAGGGGACATCTTCATAGTGCGGCTTGGAGCGCTCGTAGTACTTCGTCGTGCCGTTGGCGGAAGTTCCGAGAAGGGCCGGGTAGACGGGGAAGTAGCCGGCGTCAGAACCAGTGTAGTCCGTAGGACCAGAAGGGGTGTAGATGTGACCCATGGCGAAGCCCTGGGAGACGGTGGCGCTCGAGGTTCCTGCGATGATCGTGTTGTTCTTGGGTCCGAGAAGAATCGTCTGGACCTTGGAGAAGGCAACGTTCTCCATCACCAAGGTGCCGGCCGTCACCGGAACAGTAACGCCAGGCTCGCGGCTAGTACGAATAGCCGTCTGGGTGTTGACAAATTCAGAGTCCAGAAGAGTGATCGAGGAAGTGCTGTTGTCCTGCATACGGATACCAATACCGCAGTTCTCGACGTAGATGTTCTTGTACGTCCAGCCCCAGTCCCAGAGCTGGTTGATGGCTACCTGGGCGTTCCAGAAGCGAAGATTGCGTGCAGTATATTGCTGATTGCCAAAATTGACGCCGTATTGACCTCCGTAGAAGTCAAGATCGTTGAGAAGGCCGCCGGAACCCTCCTCGATGAAGATGCCGACATGCTTGCTCGCCGCGCCCTCAGCAAGGCGGAACTCGCAGTTCGTGATAGCAGTAGCCTGCGAAGAAGGCCAATGGATTCCAAAAGCAGCAGCAGAGGCAGGAATGGATGTGGTGTCGAAGACGAGGTTGCGCACTTGTCTGAAGAAGACGTTGGTCGCGCCCCAGCTGAGGCCATTCGCGCCATACTGTGGTGGGTGTGTCAGTCAATTACTCCACGCACAACACAACTAATGCAATTGACATAAGTGAACAAAGGCATTTTTTCCATGACTAGGAACCATAGAATTTCGAATATTGATTTACATACCGGGTTGCCGTCGAGGAGGCCGAGGGTGGTGTTGGTGGGGAAGTCGGCCACGGCCTTGATCACCGGGCGATCGGTCGGATCACCAATGATTTGCGTGTAAAAGTAGTCAATGATAGAACCTGAAATGAGATAAGTTCTACAATAAACCGTCAGCTAATTCATCCTTTCTCATTCTTTTCTCATTCAATTGCATTGCAACTCTCTAAGACTCACCCGGGAGGGAAGTAGACGGTAGCAGGCGACGTCGTCTCGCCCTTGCACTTGCCCGGCGCGCACCGCTCACCAGAGCTGATGGCCAGGTTGATCGCCGCGGTATCGTCCGTCACACCGTCGCCCTTTGCGCCAAAGTCCTTTACGTTACGGAAGACCTTGTAGTTCGGGTCCGGGTGGTAGGGAGAGATGCCCTGGTGGGCAATGTCTTCCATCCAGTAGGCCGCTTTGGCGAGGGTCGCGGCCGCGAGCCAGAAGGCGGCTGTGACGCGCATTTCGACGGATTGCTTGTTGATTTGCTTTTCGAGTAAGGTGAAGATACTATGATTACGAGGAATTTGAATGAGTGTGGTGAAAGTGGGAGCGAGATAGACTGCGCTGGTGGGATTTCAATGAGTGGATGAGTTCGGAACTCGATGGAGTGATTTGTGTAATGAACGTGGTCACTTCCCCTCCTGGACAATAAACCAGCAAGGTGAAAGATCAAAAGAGATGGGAAAAAGAGAGGCGTGAGCAGGAAAGTCAATCAAGTAATAGAAAAAAGGAGTGGCGCGATTCTCAGCAGAATCAGCAATAAGGGCAACGGATCAGAGAGCTATAGACATTCAGGGACCCCCAGCAGTGGGACGAACCTTGAGATCGGGTAGATGACTACTCACACTCTCAGGCCCGTACGTCCCGAGTAAGTGGAAGATGAGTACAAATAGGCGTAGGGAAAAAAAGAAACAAAGTTGACGGAGCGACAAGGGGTGAAGGGCGACAAGCCCGGGATACTTTATTAGAGTTGGGCTGAAGTGGAGGAGACGAGGTCGAGAGAGCTGTGGGAGCCGTGGAACGACGGGTTCAACGCTACTCAGCCTCTCAGGAACCAAGAACCGCGCTTCTGCGGGACGTTTTGCCGTTCGTTTCTTGATAGACCAAGAAATTATCAGAAAAAAAGGTTCTAAAAAGGGATAGACTGGGGGGGGGGGATGAACGTGGGCAGAAAATCAAAAGCAGTGTGTCTCATTTACTTAGCTTCCCGTAACTTTTGGTCCTGCTTTACTCCCTCACTCATTCCCCGCGCGCGTCTTACTCAATTCGCTTCCCAACGCTGGACAGACGGGCAAGATGACTGTAGATGCTATGTCATGCGGGGAAAAAAAAAAATGACCACCAGATGCGTAGACGTAATCATGCCGGCTCAGAAAGCATTGTTGCCTCTACAATGACCGGGTGAACTGCTGCACATCTCATCATTTACAAGATTCAATCAAAAAGACGCAAAGCTTCCAATATTTACTTCGCGGCCCAACGCGCTGACGAGGCAGTCATCCGCTAGGCGTCCGAAAGGCGTCTTGTGGCTGGCTGTCCACGCCGTTCAGGTACGCGAGACTTTGACAAAGAAAGCAAGCTTCTTACTCAGTTGTTTTAGTGTGAATCCAGCCTACGGATACTTCACCAGCAACCCACGAGGGGGGAGGTGGAGTGCATTGGAGCCTTTAGATGGTGTGCTAGGCCTGTGTGGGATAGGTCGGGGCGGGAAATGATGAATGAGGGGGAAATGAGGGACGCCTCCGGGACCGTGAACGCGCATCATTATTGCAGGATGCATATGCAGCTGCTGATCAGCTTTGGTGCTGGTGATCTATGGATAATGTAGTGTGGGTGAGTGAGCGAAGAGAGGTGGGAGAGCACGCATGAGAGCTTGGCCGAAGGGGAGATGCATTTCGCGGTGAGAAACGAACGTAGTAGAGACGCCCAGGATGTCTTGGTCTGAAGGGAGACAGTGATGAAGTGGAATTCCACTCATCGCATGGAACGAGGGGGGACAGAACGTTGGCCGTTGGCGTTTACTCCCAACGGGAGCCTATGCTCTAACGCGATGTTCGGCGATGCTAATTCTTGACCAAGGACACTTATGGTCTCGTTTGTTTCAACTTTCAATAATCGCTTTTGGTAGATCATAGATGTCGCCGGGGATGAACGGAGAAGAAACTTTTCGGGAAAGATGACAGGAAAAGGACCAAGCTTCTCCCCCGCCTGGAAAGAAAAGTGATGGGACGGTGCATTGGTGTTGACCGGGGTGGTCCAGGCCAGCTTTTCTCTCGCTTTGCGGCTACCAGATTCTCGGCCGCTCCCTTGGCCATTGGGTTGGTACATTTATCGCCTGTTCATTGATGCATGAGGGTAGCATCGCTTATCCTCAAAGCCAACAGCTCCCCTGTAGAAATGCTCAGCTGAAAAAGCCAAGATCAAAGCAGACATGAGCCGCGTATGCCCTCATTCTCAGGCGCTCATACCTCAATAGGTCCCGTGTTATTTAAAGGGAGCCTACGGGATAAGAGGTGCAGACCAAGAAACACATAAGTGAAGGACTCCTTTCTTGAAGACTCGACCGTTGAGGTGTCTCTCCATTCACACGCACTAAACCCCGATTCAAGAAATAGATAACAGCCCTATCCGGTGAGTTTCTGAACGCGGAACACGCATCAGGAACGCCGGGAAATTAGGGCCTTCTTCCAAGACCACGCCGTCTTCTCCCTTCTAGGAGCTGAAGATGCGGAAATCCGACGAGTCTGAACTTTTTCGATTCCTGCCTCCTGAATCCGATCTTGGCTCAGACAGAGGGTTCGTAGATTGGTATGCGATTGCCAGGAACAGCCACAAACGAGGCGACTAGGTGGTTCGAGGTCTTACACCTCAGGATTCCAAAGATTCATCAATCGGCCGAGTTCTGATCGTGGTTCAAAAACGCCGAAGACCACCATTCGAATTGGCAGAGCAGTGAAAAGAGGAAGAAGTAAGGTTGGAATCATACGAGTAGATAGCTCCAGATCCACCGTGCGCGAGTTGGGTCATCATATCCCTTCAAAATGGCACGTACGGAGTCCCATCAGACCAGGAAGTAGATTCATAGCTCTTAGTGGCCATTGTTGAAGACCACCCGGCACCCGTATATTCTTCTAGGTCTACTATGCACCTAGGTTGTATGTCGAAAAGTGTGCCACCCGGGGGTAGAAGATGGCGATGCCCATGATGAATGAAGTTCCCGTCGTCCAGCCCAAAAATATTAACGCCAACCATGCCATCTAACCCCCTTGACAATTATCCATCTCATCCCCTGGTCTATTTCATCACCATCCTCGCAGATCGTACATCCTCAATCCTCGCTGCCAAAGTACAGCAACAACACGGTCTAAAGCGTCTTGAACCCCTCCTCCAGGGCGACAGTCTGGCCGAGCCTACCGCTCGCGGCCATGCCAGCCTTCTCACCCGCCCTCTTGCGCAGCACGTTCTCGATGAACGCCTCGCCGGCCTTGTAACTGCTCCGCACCAGGGGACCACTGGCACAGTACAGGAATCCCATATCCAGTGCGCGCTGCTTCCACATCTCGAACTCGTCGGGAGTGACGTATTTCTCGACCTTGAGGTGGCGCTTCGTCGGGCGCATGTACTGACCAAAGGTGACGACGTCGACGTTGGCTTTGCGGAGTTCTGTGTTTCCCCAAATGTTAGCTTTCTTTTCCCCGACCTTGACTTCAAATCAGGCGGTTTCCTGACTGTGAACCAGAGAATGACAGGGACAAACGTACGCCTCAAAGCATCCATAATCTCCTCCTCCTGCTCTCCCAAGCCAAGCATGAGACTCGTCTTGGTAATCATCTCCGGCTTCACCTCCTTGACCCGCGCAAGCACCTTGATACTCTGCGCAAACGTGGCTCTCCGATCACGCACATACGGCGTCAGCGCCTCCACCGTCTCAACATTGTGCGCATACACATCCAGCCCGCTCTCTGCCACAATCTTCACCATGTCCAAGTCGCCCATGAAGTCGCCGGTCAGCGCCTCGACCAGCAGACTCGGCTTCTTGGCCTTGATCTTGCTGATCGTCTCAGCGAAATGCCGCGCTCCGCCATCCGCCAGGTCATCGCGGTCAACAGACGTCAGAACAACATATCCCAACCCCCACCTAGCCAGCGCCTCGGCCGTGTGCTCCGGCTCGTGAGGGTCCAACGGCGCCGGCGCGCGGTTGGTCTTTACACTGCAGAAACGGCATCCGCGCGTACACGTGTCGCCCATGAGCATGATGGTCGCCGTCGCCGCGCTCTTGGAGGAGCCGCCCCAGCACTCGGAGATGTTGGGGCACTTTGCCTCCTCGCATACCGTGTGCAACCCCAATCCGCGCAAATCCTTCTTGATAGACTTGTAGTTCTCGTTGCCGGCGGGGATGGGCGTCTTAAGCCACTCAGGGAGGCGGGTGATGGTCTTCTTCTTGCCCGTCGGGCCCGTGACCTCGACGGTGCGAATCTCATAGGCCTCGGCCTCGGAGAGGGCCGCCGGGTCGCCCTTGCTCGCGATGAAGTCGTCCAGCGACGCGAGGCTCTTGTCCTTGAAGTAGGTCGGTCTGCGGGCTTTCGGGGGTTGCGATGCTGCTTCGGATGTTGTGCCGAAGGTGGGAGGAACGGTGGCGAAGGCTCGGGAGCGAGCCGACGAGGCGAGAGCCCGCCGCAGAGGAGCCTGCACGCGGGCAAGAGGTGCCATGGGCGATGGCATTGTGATCAATTGTCGTTGGCGTTTCGCTCGGTTTCCACTCGAAGTTGCCCGTGTGATTGCTGCAGCCGACGATGTTGCTGGCGAGAAAGCTTGGTTGGGAGGTTGATGCAAACAATAGCTGTGATGGGGCAAAAAAACAGGTCCCAAGAAAATATGACCACTAGAAATTAGGCCCTGCAGCTGGCTACACCCCCCGGTCCCCGGATTGAATCGGCATATCGGGGGGCCGTGATTGAGCCTCGACCAATCAGAATCGGCCGGCCGTCTGACAGCGGCAATGCTTATTAAGAAGGCTTATCGAAATGTCGGCGTACCGGGGCCTTCCGTCCCAACGGTTTCGTTTTTCAAGGGCCGAGGGGTCGTTGTCTTACTCGCTTCCCGATTCTTTCCAATCAAGAGGTCAGGATTGCCAATGCTGCGTGGGATCACGAGCCGAGTGCTCATGTCCCTGTCACTTATCGCGGTAGGAGAATGCAAGGGTCTGATGGAACAGAGCCATAAGCTCATGTCAATGAATTCGTTCAACTATGCTACCAGTAAATGCCCCTTCACAAGTCCTTAAAACTCCTTTCAATGGCCTCCAAGCCCCCCTCGCAAGGCAAAGTCGTCTCGGACCATGCCATCATTCAATCAAAACGGTCGTCAATCCGAAAATATCAAAGCAAATCCATCGCGTCCTCCTACCGACCGGGCAATGTGAGACAGCGAAACCCAAGGTTGAACCTTCGAAAAGGGCTACCTCGGAAGTGCAGCTTGATCTGTCCAACCCCGGCCGGCAACTATACAGCAATAGGGGTATCAACAACTCGAAGAAGAGTGAAACTTTTGTTCCATCACGAGAACTCCGGTAAATCCCTAAATCATCCATCCTGATCATTTCCGTCTTAAATCCTCCCTTGAGAAAAGACGTTGCGAAACATCTCGTAAATATCATTTCCAGCCAGCAAGCACACCTGCAGCAACATCAGTGCCTTGCCAGGTACTCGAGCCAACGGCAGCCCGATAACCATCAGACGTCAATTGACTCGATGCCATCCCCAACACGACTCACCAGTCTAGAAAACCAGACAGCTGATTGTGTTCGAGAAGGCCCTGGGTGATCATGGCTAATGACGTGCGTGAAGGGCAGATCGACTACGCATTCCATGCGACCCTTGTGCTGCTGGGGAAGAATCGAAACATTAAAACATGAGGTGGCAAGCCGTCCGCCACCCATAAAAGAAAGGCGGCGGAGAGTCAGTGTCGTTTGAAGTGAGAGTGAAAAAAAGGTTGATCGCTGTCAAGAAGCCCCAGTTGCTAGCGTGTGGGTTCCTTTCCTGCAGGATGGCGATGCAAGCATCGCACATGGTTGGTGTCGAAGAGGAATAGGGTATAGTGTGTGCCGTCAACTCAAGTGGTTTCCCGATTCTCAAGGTCGTGAAGGTCGTAAGAATAGGCCGCGCTCACATCGGTAGCGATGTTGCGCCGAACCAGGGTTGGAGGCGATGGCAAAAGAGAAGGCTGAAAAGATGTCGCATCGAAGAGTTCGGTGTGGCAGTAGGATGCGGCGGGCAACATTCCTCCAACCACATCGCAACTTTAAACCCGACCTCCATTTCCTCACATCTTCGTCTTGCGCATCCAGTGATGCGCTTTACAACATAACAGCAGCGACCATACCAGCAACACCAGCGAAAGCCAGGCTACCAGCGTTGAGAGCGGCGCCGGCACTGGACTTCGAGGTAGTTGCAGCAGTAGCCGCGGCAGTTGCAGAAGCAACAACGGAGCCGGTGGGCTTAAACGTCGCGGTGCTGTTGCCGGTGCCGTAGGTCATGGTGGTGGTGTGCGCGCGCTCAAGAGTAATGGTCTTGGTCTGGGTAGCCGTGGAAGTAACCGTCGTCGTATCGCCGCTTGAGGTCTGGGCCAGCGCCAAGACGGGCAAGAAAGCAGCAAGAATCGTGGTGACCTTCATTGTGTCTGTAAGTGGGCGTTTTTTTGGTGATTGTACTGGTCAACTGTCGAAGCCTGACGAAGTATAGACCGAATGGAATATGTATGTGCGTCGGAAGTAATCCGTTCAACACTATGATGCGTATGCTTGATGTTGGGTCTCTCAAAGATCGTGATGTAAGTCGAACTGCTTGACTTGGTGCTAAGGTGGATTGGAACAGCCAGATGTATATGTGTGTTGGCGTGTTTACTGTTGTGTCTAAGCCAGGGCAGTGAGTGGTTTTGGCGGGGAGCGCTTGTTGTTGGTTTGCGACAAGAGGGCGTCTGTCCGCGGATGTAAATAGGAATGAGTGTTAGTCCGAATACTTCGAGTAATTCAGGTTTGGTGATGTTTGTTTCAACGACTGTGCGTGAAGCGAAAGAAGGGTGAAGCAGTAGGAGACTTTGCCAACGAAGTCTGTGGGTTATGGATCGGGGGGGGAGTGGTTTGAATAAGAGGATGCTGGAGAGAGGACCCAGACTCGCGAGAAGTGGGAAAAGACGTGGGTTTTGGATGTGGGGAGACAAGCGACGGGGGCAGGCGGATCAGGCGAGGGTTACGGATGCAAGCGTCGGGTGAAAATGAGCAGCAACAACGAAGTACTCCGTACCTTTACCCGGGGGCCTGGCAACCTGGGAGTCTGGGAGACGTCTGGAGGTCCAGGATCCTCCCAGGCGGCAGGGCCTCATCCCCGTGGACTGTGAGCCTGTGAGGTGACTGGCAGGGGCGACGACGATGCACGCGCCGACAGGGAAGGCGCTCACACCCAAAATGAAAGCCAAGCCTGGCCCACGAAAGAGATGGAGGAAGGAAAGGACGTTAGCTGTGGTCCGTGAGCCTGTGAGAGGGCAAGAGGTGGAGGTGCTCGGCCCTACCTTCCCTGTCCTTTCCTGCCAGTTCTTTCCAGATGTATCCCGGGGAAGGAGCAAGCAAGAAGAGACGGCAGGTACAGCTGGGACGGGACAGTGACACAGGAGGGAAAAAGGAGATGAGATGCTTGCTGCGGTACGAGTCGCAAGTCGGACCTGGTCTGCTACTGAGAGTCGGCAAAAGCCAACCGGATTGTCGCAACAGAGGCCATCGTCACTCGGCCGGTGAGGTATCACAGAGGTAGCTGCAAGGTACCCGTGTCCAGGCTGCTCTGTTTAACCCTGCTGGCCATGCTTCAAGCCCACCATCCTCCTAGAGGCGCTAAGTACAGTGAACCATTCTACTCGCCAAGATTTAGCGGTGATTATTTGTACACGCGACCACCCGTATGCAGGCTCAATATGCAGGCAGGGGTCTGGATCTTCGCGGGAAATTAAGGCGCAAAAGCACAGCATTGCGTTCGCTGGCAGTCGACCACGTTACCTTGCGCCTTGCCTTGATGCGCTTTGTGAATGGATAATTGTGCAAACGACCAACCGCCAGCTACTCATCACGCCAGCAACGACGGATCGGCAGGGCGTCGATTGGAAGCTGTTCGCTGTTTGCCCTGACGCAGTGACAGCGCTTTTCTTAGAAGCCTTGTGTGATCCTGACGCGGGCTGAGCACGATCCGCAAGTCTCAAGAGCCAGCAATAGAAGCAAGAACCCAGAATAAGCAACATCCGTTGCGGGCAGTGACAAGCGGCGCCATGAATAGCGCCATTCTTCTCTGCTTCTTATTCTTCCGGTTGATTCCAAGCAGGTAGTCCGACTCCTGAGTCCTAAAAAGTCGCTCGGCCGAGCTAAGACGGAAACAATACCTTGTGCCGGGCGAGACAAGCCCAACGGTTCATCACTCGGCTTGCTTATTCTTGATGTCCAAGACAAAGTCAGGCCGGGGTTGACAGAAGGAAGGAGAGAAAGGCATTGTTACCAGCCGCAAACGGGCTTAGTAGGCGGTGATTGTTCGTACAATGCTCTCTAACAGGGCGAATAGCGGCAGCATTATTGAAGAGTTAAATGGCATAATTTGCACCTCGTCATTTGGATCCCCTCCCAAATGCGACACAGATTGCCGCGAAATGGACGAAATGGGTGGCACACGAGGAAAGAAGAGCGCGAATCGTCCATTCCCGATACAGCGACAATGCGAGTGGGCTTTTCATAAAAGATTGAATTGCACAATTTCCCCGAGCCACCAGCGCCTGGTGATTGGTCTAAGGTGCGGTGGAAGCGGGACCCAGCTGGTGAGACCCATCACCCAAGGCTTCTTCTCCTTCCGTTTCGCGGCTGGCCAGCTCGTTCCTGCATTTCACTGAGAAAATGGTTCCTGACGCTAAGCCCTGGACGGTCAGCTCAGAGTGTCTCGTGCGCTCTGACTGGCCGGGGGTGCCTGAGTGCCTGCAGCCAGTTGGTTGGTTGGCTCGTGAGTGGGGAGGAGCGTTAGGGAGGGACGGGAAAGAAAGAAGAGTTTGCCGTCAGTGCGGTATTTTGGAATTTGGAAAGCACTGAGCAATTGGGAAAGACGGAGGGAAGTCACTGAGAAAGTCGCTTCCAGTAGGGGCAGCCAGCAAGGACTCACCCTGGTTGCCTCCCCCGGTTCCTTCCCAAAAGTCGAGTGTCAAATCTTAGGATTCTCTCCTTCCTTCCCAGAACGTTCGTCCGACGGTCTGTGCAGTCGCAACATGAAAGTGCAAGTCGCAGTTGCTCATCGCCCGGGAAATGTCATCATCCTTCATCCCTATTCCCCGTTCAGATCACTTGCGGAGAAGCCTCTTTTAGTGTCGATTTTCTCGTTCTTAATCTTACTGACTTACGCCGCTGCAGCCTCTCCGTACGGATATTCTTCGTCCGGGCAGAAGGTCACTTTGATTCCATCTCGCAGCTCGCAGCCCATCCGTCGTCAAGTTTGTACGGGGCCGGCCGTCGACGGTAATCAGCAGCGACACAACCCGGACACAATCGTCCCATGTGTCTCAGTCCCATCTTTGTCTCTCCGTCCAAACTCGCACCTCAACGATAATCAAACTTGGGGGCTGCAGCTGCAACCACAAATCCTCGGATGAAACCCGAAATCCTCCCCACCGTCATGTCCACCAACATGGACCAACCTGAACTTCTGGAGATCACGCCGGAGATCAACGATTTTGGTGGGCCAACATTGCTGTGAAGTTGTGAACTTCTCAAGAGGGAGACTCCCTTCTCGCCAGGGACCAGCGGCCGGCCATGAATAATGGATCGTGAGCATCGCCTAGGTCCTCACGTTGCTTGACATGGGAGTCTTGACTCTGGACGGCCCAAGCTTGCCCTCCCCTCTCCTTGACTCCTCCCACTTCGCGCATCGCTCGCACTAATTAGAACCTCGTCACCTCGCCAGTCGTCGCATGCCCCCCTCCTCGTTGCCCCTATCCGTCGCAACTTGGGCACAAACTGCAAGGCCCTTCAACAGGCCCTCGTCGCAACAGGGCCATCGTGACTCCTCTTTCGTGCCACCAACCCGTCACCAGTGTCTGCGGAAACTGCTCATTCAGACGCACCACGACCGGCCACTACCCCGTACACGTTGCTTCCCGGTGCTTCGCTGCCACAATGTGAAACTCGACTTTGTGTGGCCCATGAGAGGAGGTCCCGGGCGCTTACATACACTACTCGTTAGGGACCTGCGAGCAAACCAATCGATCAAAGTCCTGCTGGATTGAATCGTCTAGGCCGCTCATAAGGCCTACCGAGACCCACGGCTGCCACCGCAGCTAGTACGGATACTTGTGAGAAGGCTATGTTCTTGGTAACAGAGAATGTTCTGGAGTCTGCTGTGAGTCCTATGCATTGCAGCTGGAAGCTCGCGGTAAGTGCGCCGCCTCCGCTGGTGGACTAAACCAAGATAGGGCACACTCAAGCGAACCCGGTCAATGGGGAATGATTTCTTCTCTACGTAGTCAACGCCCGGAAGCGTAAACGGTTGCCCATCCATTCCGCCTTGTCCGTGGCAGCCTGGCCCGATCTCGACCTCTTCGACTTAGCAAACGTCTCTTGGCAGAGCTTTTTGCGGGGTGGTCTTGTCCTTTGACGGACCGAAAGGGGGGGCGAAAGAAGAAAATTCACAGCTGTTGTTGCACGCCACCAAGTACGAGGATGAGACGTTGCGATATACTTAGACAACGGCTTCCAACGTTTTTTTTTTTTTTTTCGGTGGGTCGAGGATCGCGTCGCAGCGCCGGCGCTTTGCGGACACCACACGTTCCTTTGTTGGTCTTGGACCATCAATCAGTCTCCCTCTGACCTCTTGTCCCGTCCTCTACTGCGGTAAGCTGCGCGCTCGCTAGTTGCAGCGTCGGCCGTGGTACGCGAAGTTCGAATATCATGCAAAGACACCGGCCAAACTCAAGTCCACCCTCTTTTTGCTTCTGTGTAGACTGCACCTCGTAACATGTCTCGGACTCTTCGTCTCAACGGCCACATGCAGCAGCCTGCAGTTCGTATGCGCAACGCAGGCTGCCGCTGCGTCCTCGGCATTTGAACCCCAATTATGCTGCACGAACAATGACCTGCAGCACAGCAAACATACCTTGAGCCAGGTTACAGTCGTCCTGGAGCCGTTAGAGCATCCTCCAACATTGGCCGATTCACAAGAGATTGCTCTCCCTCAGATTCCCTGTGCCTCAAGAGTCAACGGCAACTTCGACTCGTGGCACAACATGACGTTGCTGTTCGAGTGGGAACACAGCCATGTGGGCTACGGCAAGAAGACGACAAATCCATGGGTTCCGATGGGTACGAAATAGGGGACCTTCTCCTGAGGAACCCGGACGGCGATTCCTCCTCCCATTAACTTGATGCGAAGCGATGTCCGGAGCCCCGCCCCCGTCTCCCGATCCTTGAGCCGATTATCCAGCTCCCAGCAGCAGATTCCCTCGTCAGCGTCGTCATCGCCGTCGTTGGCATAACAGATTACAGTCACTAGACAACCTATGGACCGTGCTACGAGGATGGCCCCAAAGTAGGATTCGGCTGAGGAAGACAGCTTTCATGCAGCTGCCTCTAGAACGTCATCCAAGCGATCGGATTCAGGAACATCGATAATCATGGAACTCCAGGAGGATAGGTATCAGCAAGTACTTGGGTCACAGACGACCAAAAGCCAATGAGTCGTTGTTGCTGTTAGGCACCCTGGCGGCGTCCGATCTTGACATCCGATGAAACAAAGGCCGTTCATCTATCGGCTGCGTTTTGAAACGGAACACATGGTTCGTCTGAGCGTGCACTTATTTCCAAACCCTTGGGGTCAGTGACGAACATGGGCTGGCACCAGTCCCTGCATCTACGGATTGGCAAACAAACGTGTGCATCTGTGCAAATCAAGCTCAGACGATGCGTCTGAATTTATGAAAACTTCGGGGCCGAAATAATCTCGATATCGCCGAACGTTGCACGTTGTAAGTTGCGACCTGGAGCTCCGCCTGCTGTTGTGCTAAGCCCTGAGCTAAGGATGCTAACACGCGACAGACTCCAACAGTGTCGTTGTCTCTCTGACAGCTGCTCTGCCCCATCAATGCCCGACTCTCCAAATTCTCCTCATTCGTCCCAACAATAAAGTTCTGGGCACATCCAGTGAAGCGCATTGGGCAAGGCAATGTCCAAACTCAACTGACGATGCCAAAGGTAGTCCGCAGCAGCCCAGCAAATACTGCGTCTTGGATGACTTCGACCTTCTGCAAGATTCTCAAGCTCGCTTCGACAGCTCTCAGCCAGCGCAAGAAATTAGCGCCGGTTATTACCGGTCTATTAGTCTAGTTGGTTAGGACGTCGGATTCTGATTGTTGGAACTTCCGTAGGCCCAGGTTCGAATCCTGGATGGACCTCTTCTTTTGCAAAATTACGCAAAAGTGGCATTGAATCGTCTTTCTTTTGGTTCAGAGTTGAGGTTGGGACATTGCTCTTGAAATTACGACGTT